AATCCAAAATGTTTTTCCCTAAAGCGATCTAAAAAAAATTATTGCCATTTTTAAAAATATCCCTAGACTTTTCCGATGTGTGTAGTTTATCCTAATAATAGTTTTTCCCGTTCCTTAAGTTTTTCTGTTGAAGGACTCTCCGTTTTATAGATGGACTTTCGTATTGATCGATAAATATCGATTGGAACTGTAAAATATAAAATAGATTTATGATTATAATTAAAGCCATAATTTCGATTTGTAATTGAAATTTTGTAATTAGGTAGGCACCTACTGAACTTGTTAGCAATTCATAATGTTTGTTATTAAATAAAAGTGCCGTGAATGCTTAAAATGTGGAACTTTGACCTTGAATGATTTTTTTTCACACATAGGGTTCATCGAGTTTAAAATTTATTGCAGTACCCAGTTGATCTGTCAGAATTTTTCTTGATTCAAATTTCAACTGACTGAATATGTAGAGATTTCTTCAAGGCATCGCGACAAGCTTTTATTATAACTTCAATTCTCTAAAGTCATAAATGAATGTGGTTAATGTGATTTAAAATTTTATTTCTATCTTTTTGGGGCACTTAAATAAAAACTTGTTTTTAAAGTTTTTTTTATCATTATTTTAGTCGTACTTCTTTCGAATATCAACTTTAATAATAAACAAATATTCAGAATGTGTTCAGCTGTGTTTCTGTTTTTCCAACAGACGAATGCAATTATGCGAGTATAAATAAACTGATAATTAGGAATATAATTGAGTCAAGCACCATTGATAATGAGCGTTTGAAATTTACTACTACGAAAACTAGCAGTAATTCACATATTGATTCCTTTATTTGCATCAATTACCTTCCAAAGGCCTCACATGTTTGACATTGGCCTCTATTGCTAGAGGTAACTGGTTGATATGCATGTTTCCTTGAGTTTCAGATTACTTGGAGATATATGATAGGTAGAATTTGAATAGGGAAAAAGCTGAATCAATAATCCTAACCGCTCTGGATTGAATCATTCTAAACAGTTCATCTCGTCTTGTGTTCATAGATCTTCCACTGGAAAAATCCTCACTAGTCATCTCCAGCTAATGATAACGTTGAATTCTAGTGTTTTAGTGTGGGTAATTTGTTTTTTAGTATATTGAGATTCAGATGACAGTTTCGTAGTGTTCATCAATCAGGCTACCCTGATTTGATACCCCAAAGAAGTAGTTGAAGAAGATACTGCTAAAAGTACTTACCAGATTCGTGTTTCCCTCCAAGTTTTTACGAGACAGAATCATTACTCATCCAGAAACAAAGAAACCTCAGTGGTGTGTGTTGTTCTGAAGGTGTTCAGCTGAAGAAATAGACAAAACTCAAATGAACTAGTCGAGAACGAAATCAATGGTAAAAGAAAAGAAGAACGACCTGGGCAGAGAGTAGAACTCAATATCAACAAGGCGTTTGGTCCTGATAAAGTGTCAGTCATCGTACTTGAAAAGTGCGCAAATTTATTTTACAGACTTCTCAAACTGTCTTACAGAAAGGGGGTTTGACTCGTTGTTGGTGCTTGTATTCTCTTCTTCAAGAAAAGGGACGAATAATTCCAATAAGAACAAGACAACAAAACAAACAAGAAATGATCAACCACAATGTCAAAACGATGAATAGGACTGAATTCCACAAGAAGATTCAGAATGAAAATCAAAACGGGAAAACCATGGAGCAATGAAAGAACAAGAAGAAGAAATAACACTATAATATGACCACAATGAAATAGGGCAATGAAAAGGGGCAAATAGATTCAAAATGGCAACGAAACTTTTGAGAATGAAAACTCTAGAAGGAATGTGAACAACAGTAGGTTAATCGAATGTGGAAACAAAAACAAGACATAGAAGCAAAATGAAAAAATTGGGAGAATGTGGATGGAAATATAAGGAACAATCTACAAGAAGAAAGCAGAACAAACATTGAAATATCTAGTGTACAAAAGGTTACTTATATTGATAATTGCTTTTAAAGGAATGCAAAAACTTCACCCAAAACAAAGAATTTAGAATTTAGAGCAATGAATTTCTTCCACAAGATTTGGGAGATTTTTGTGAAGCTTCTGGAAAATGTTTGGAAATCTTCGGTTTTGGAAAGTTCAAAGTCGTCTTTCCACAATTTGTTACATGGTTGTTATTGTACCGTCTCTGATTCAGAATATTGGTCCACAATCCACTTGATACGTGAGTTATCAACTTTTTTAATGATCAGAAATGAATCTTCTTCAGATCATTTAGGTCTGAACCAAAGCGAGCCTTCCTGAAACAACTACTTTCACTCACAAGTCACTCCTCCTAAAGAAAAATTGTCCATTTATCCGTTCTCCAAAGAATGAATAGACTGATAATAGATAATAGTTTACAATAAAAAAAGGAATGAAATATACACCAGAAGTCTATTGGAAATATTCATGAATTATGTTATGTAAAACAATCACCGTGAAGTAGAATTCGATTCGAGAAAGTGGATTCTTTGAGAGTGGACCGAAAAATTATGTCAGGGATTCTTCACATGAGTATAAGTGATAATGAAGCCTCAATTTCTCTCGAAAGAATACGAAATCTGAAGAAGAAAACTGTATTATTTATCGATTTACTGAAAATATATATTCATCATTTGAGGTTATGATTTCTGTTGCAAGTATTTCCACTTTGAACAAGCCTATAATTTCGTTAATTGACATATAAACACGTTTATTACATTCAATCGAAGTTGAAAATTTTCAAAAACTTCCACTTCTTTTCATTCTCACTACAATGTAAAGAAATATTACTCACGTAATGGTAGAAACTGCAAATTTACACCCACAACTCCAATTACGAACAAAACCAAAAAACCCTTCCACATTTCTATAAAAAATAAACCGAACAAATTCAAACTGAATATCGTCGGCAATATTCGTCGATTCATTTTATAACAAATCGACGGATTCCAAGGTGATCCCCCCATTGAAGACGAAAGAAAGCGGTTCCATGCATTTCTGACGAAGATATTTTTAGCACTGATTTTTAAATGTATCAATTATGGTTCAACCCGATTCTACGAAACAACATATTTCAAAAGAAACATCTCGATTTTTATTTTCAAAGTGCCATTCAGGTTTGTGGAAGTTGATTTATACAGGGTGTTCCAGAGTAAGAAGCTGACCTTGAAACGCACCGGTCGTGAACTGACATGAAAATAATTCAGAGGTGCTGTTGGCCTTCACTAGCCATTATGCATGCTCCATCTCTCCTCTTCACGCTTTGGAAAATTCTTTTAGTGTCACCAAAGCTATTATGCCGTTTTTTGACTCGTCTCCAGTATCGATGGACAGCGTCTTGAGATGTATCCACAGATAAAAGTCAAGACTATTCAGATCTGGAAATATAGGTGGCCACGATTGCAATCAACACGATTGTGATTGTGCACCATGGTTGAATAAATCACATACAATTTCAGCGGTCCTGAAGCAAATTCAAATCCAAGATAGAGTGGATGTAAACATTGACATGCCCTACGCACGTGATATTGAAAACCCCAAGAATTGGCCAGGGTCGTATTCAGAACCAATATTTTGTTGATTGCAAATGCTATATCATCCTTAGGAAAACTTTCTTATAATAACGAGTGAAATGCACAGTTTGCAATGCAGTTTAACGGGAAAAATGCAGTGTGATATGTGTAATATAAAAAGATTTATATTTATAGATAATGATCCAGCTAGTTATTCTGATCTCAGAATTATCAGTATACTTCCAACCATGAGTAGAATTTTTGAAAGAGTTATTTATTTACAAATTAATGAATATTTCAATAACAATAATCTATTATCACCATCGCAATGTGGTTTTAGGCAGGGTTTCAGCACGGCTACAGCTCTTGCTACTGTTACACAAGACATTGTTGAGGGATTTGATAAGGGAATGATTAGCACTCTGGTACTACTAGATTTTTCGAAAGCATTCGATACCATCAATCATGAGCTGATTTGCATGAAACTCAAATATTATGGTTTTGATAGTGCNCAAAGAAACCTTCATTAAACGCCTTGGAGTTTGGAATTGATAAATAAAAGATATGTAATTGAACAGCCAACTTTCAATAAAAAATGGTAATCTGAATATGGATCTCAACGATGGACTGATAAATAATTACTCAAACGTGAATGTGTAGACTGTATGTGATAGGACATACAGGATGGGCCCATATAAAAGATACGTCAAGCATAGCCTCACTTTGTTTGAGAGATTGACAAGTTTTGACAAAACACCATTGCAAAATTTTCAACCCCCATGGGGTAGTCTCGTCCTTCTAACTTTTCAAAACAGAAAGGGGGTAGAATGATATCTAAGGTGAAACGGCGATTTCAAGATATAACATTTGTCGATTTTTCTTCCTGATACAGAAATTTGGTTTATGACACCCCTTCTTTGGAAATTATTTTCAAGTCGAAACGTAGCCCTTTCACACGCAAATAGTTGATGTAATAGTTGAGCAAATAGTTGCGGTAATTTTCCAATGATCACTCTGTATATATAAAAAGACGAAAGAAGAAATTACTTCTTACAGTAACACCAAGGAAATAGTTCCTCTGTTTCTGTATCAACTACCGAAATTCTTTACATACAACAAAGTTTTCCGTGAATTCGGCCACATGAAGAGTATGACTGATTCACATGCGGAAGACCGATCCCGTGGGTGTATCTGAAAAAAAGTCTAGGGTATTGCTAGATAATCTAGCTTCCTAATAGTGAAAGAGTTATTGAAATCTGTTGTGTAGTTTCACCGTTTTACTAAAGCTGACTCACCCTGACTTCAAATTCAAATAAAACGAAGTGTTTGTGAGATCAGTGTCATTATTTCCCGGGTTTGAGGGCCGTCGATTTCTGGAATTTCTTCCTGACGTTTCACTGACGCGAATGGCTAGCTTCATTAGAGGTTTATACATCCTGAGTTTTCTCCGACAACTGGCTGCGTAAGACGTATTTATATTGACTCAAGTAGTTTGGTGTCTTGATACCTGTACCAGGATTAGGTAAATTGCACAAAGCGTGTTCATGGTCGTTCACCTTCAGTTCCTGGGTCAGTTGGATTCTGTACAAGTCACGACTCAAAATCTGTCAATTTGTGGTCTGCGAGAGGCCGAGCTCTGCCTCTGCGAAATCGACTGCCTCAGATTCACCTGCACACTCTCACAGATAGCGGCGATGTTTTCGATAGATCTTGCCTTCTACTTAAATAGTAGAATCAAATTTATCCACCACATTGTAGGACCATCATGGCGACAAAGCGCGCAGTACGTTGTCCAAATAGAACACCCATTCTGATGAAGAAATGAGTGACAAATAATTTGACAGATGTAGCTTCAACAAAATGGCCCTTATCAATTGTCAAAGGTTGAAAGTCCCTCTGACATAGGAAGAAAAATTATAATTTTTCGGGACTGGAAGAAGATCACAAACATTTTTACATGTTTCTGTGAGGAATGAGAAACTGTCACTCCTTTGGTTTTTTGAAATAATGTACGTATCTAGGCATGGAAATCGTTTTTTGCATGTGCTAGTTTGATTTTAATAGAAGTCGGGGTCATTAATCCGGCCTACTTCAAGGTCAATAGTTCATTCGTGTTCACTTGAGTCGTTTTTATACCGTAATGTTACCTGGCTTCAAAACCACACTTTATGATGGTAATTCCCCATAAGGATAAAGTATTAATCTTTCATTAATTGAAATATTATTCAGTTTATATGTAAATGTCTGGCATAGATGGATGGGTCAGCTAATTACATACGAAATATCGTAATTCTGGCATAAAACAGATATGTGAATGATATCTTGCAGAATTTATATTGATGGAATTGGAATCACTTGTTAATTATAAACACATTATGATTTTATCCATTAGTTGAGGAGCTGGAATGGAAGTTAATTTCCAGAGGCAATCAACTATGCTTATTCTCAGGAAAGTGGCAGAATCCATAAAACTTTCAGTTCTATTTTCGAACTTGCACACTTTTCAACCTGTCTTACAAGAAACAAGTTTTTCCTTCTCGTTGGGAGATTTCTCGCGATCAGCCTATTCCCAAGAAGGGCAACAAAAATCTTCCAAATGACTATAGACCAGTCGCTTTGCTGTCAGTGATATCAAAAACCACGGAGAAGGCCGTAAACCAGCATATCCTTAAACATTTGGAAGGCTTCAACATCTTGAGCGATCATCAATATGACTTTGGAATAAAGCAATTAAGGCCTTAGATCATGTGTGACATGAGGATTTGCTGGCCAAACTTTGATGATATGGCTTGTTGTTCCCCAGGGATCCGTATTGTCTCCAATCCTCTTTTTATTGTATATCAACGACTTTTTGGAGAAAAGGAACAATTAGCACACTTAAAATATGGAAGACCTGAAAAATCAGCAGTCGCCCATCATATTTTGCAACAAAACCATTCCATAGACTTCAGTTCATTGAAATTAGTCAGACAAGTTAACAACAACAGGGAACTAGATGCGTATGAGGGTGTAGAAATGAGTAAACACAATAATATTATGAATAACGATGACGGATCTATACCAAAGAGCATACTATATAGCTTGTTAAAATGGAATCAAATAATGTTGTTGGGTTTACTGATTACTACATAAGGAACATTCCAAAAATACATTTAGATAGGCAATATTGTGAACTTTTTCCCAAGTCGAAAAAGCAGGAGGGGGTGGCTTCACCCATTCCCCCCCATGGTGACGGCCCTGATTTCAGGACAATGGCTGTGAATGCACATCTTTACCGGCAGCAGGAGGTTGCATATCTTGATGAGGATCTATTGGGATTGGGAATTGGGGTGGAACTAGCAAGGTTCAATTCAGTGCCACAAAAACCCACGCATCGGTTTTCTCTAAAACGAACGTCTCCAAACCAAATATAATAATGTCAGGAAAGACAATCCTGCTTTCTGCTTCTATGAGTTTGTTGGGGGTTAAAAAGGACACCACTTGAAATATTTCGATGAAATAATTGGAAAAGAAATGAGATAATGTCAAAAATATACGCTGAAACATGTAAATTTTGAAAATAAAGACCCTCATTTGTGAAGAAAAATTATGACTGAAAACAATGAAGAAACCAATGAATGACAAATTTATTATTACGAAGAAGGAAGAAACAATGTCAAAAAATCAAAGTTTATTTATGTATGACTATGAAATTTTTTTGTATAAAAACGATAACTTGTGAAACAAATGCAAATGACTATGACTCGAAATGGGAATTGATTGATAAATTATTCAACGATAAGAAAAATGTCAACAATAGAAATGAAAATGATGAATGAGAAAAACTGTTGAAAAGATATTCGAAAAAAATATAATGACTTATGGTGGGAAGTCATTGATCAGTCAACAATCAGTGGAATGACAGTAACATATAAACAATTGAATGAAAATGATGAAAATAATAAAAATAATTGAATGAAAATAACGAATAAAAAAATCATGACAAAGAAAAAAGAAATAACGCTCAAAAATGATTCCAATTTGAAGAGAAAAATATCATGATTAGAAATGGGAACTGATTAATGGAAGGAACAATAATGAGTGGAATGCCAATCGTATACAAACAGAAAAAATAATGAATGGAAAAAGATATTATGATAAAGAAGTATTGCCAAAAACGTATTATTATGAGTCAAAATGAAAAGTAATTCATGAATACTTCAACAATGAGTGAAAGTCGGAAGTATACAAACAATAAAAATTCAAATGATGAACGAAAAAAAAAATATTATGACAAAGAAATAAAAACTGATGTTAAAACATAAATTTATTTGTGGTGTAAACATGGATTGTAGAGAACTGATTTGGAACGAATTCATAAAACTTTTTTTTCTGACTCACCATAGAATATAGTACTCCAAATTTTGAACTTTCTCTATTATTCTTCGCAAACCTCTGGCTTTTGTAACTTAATTTCAATTAAGGCTATGTTTTGGACCATATTTAGCACAATTTATTTGAAGTGGCAACGCCGCAATGCTAAAAATATTTTAGATCAGAACAGGTAAGGAAATGTGAGAGGTGAAATTTCCAGAAAAATCATGCTTTGCGTTTTCCAGAAACGTCTAACCTACCATCGACCGTGAGTCACGCTGTATAGGTTTTGGGATGGGTAACGGTAAAGGAAGTTGTTGATGTTGCGTAGGATTCTTCTCTTGGTAGTTAGGATACGGTGGGATAGTCTCGGAGGAAGCGTACAGTATATCATCGCTTTGTAGTCTAGGACTGGTCTGATGAAAGATTCATAAGTATGTAGGAGAGTTTTACTGTCGCACCTCCCGAGCTTGCGTCTCAGTGCTTTTAGTAGGTTTGCTCTCTTCCGGACTCTGTCCAGAGTTTCTCTCAGGCCGACCTCCCAGTTGAGGGTATTCGTGAAAGTGACCCCCAAGTAGGACACGAATAGTGGGGACGTCGTGAGCGTAAATCAGAAATGAGGAAGGATCGAGGACTGAGCCCTGGGGAACACCAGATTTGTGAGTTGGGAGCCACAATAAACCCTTGCGGGTTGCGGTGGAGGATCGAATACACCGACTCACTTTATACCTAACCTGACCTAGCACACTCCGAACTTCACTGTTTGAGAATTCTGTCATTTGGAGAATTGCGTTTATGTGGAGTAAACTTCTTAAGAACGTTTTTCCAAAAGGATTTAATTTCCAGAGATTCAAATCCAATGTGAATCGCTACTTTAGCACAGGCACCGCTCTCAGAGCGCCTTGAGAATATTTCTGCAGGGCACATACAATTTTGGTATTCGAAATTATCAAGTCATCACTTTTGATACTAGGTTATGTTAGGTTAGGTCCTTAGGTTAGTTTCTTATGACAACTTCTTGCAAAATCATTGACAATTGCGGTTTGCTTTTTTCCGACTCTTTGAAAGTCATGAATATTCACTTCTTATTCCTTCGTTTTTGATATAACCAGCAGCTGAGTTGTGCAATGATTTGTTTGTTTGGTGTCTGGGAACGTCATAAATCCATCCAATAATTCTTCTTTTGTACAATTATGAAAAATGTTTCTCCTAATTCGCTAAAAGCTTGAAAAGAGAGTGGATGATGACCTTGTGGAATCGGAAATAATATATAAATACACTGGAACATCCAAGCAACATATGATTACAAGTCTTCCCATTTCACAAATATTGTTACTTCCATGATGTTGAAGAGTTTTGCAGTTGTTTTGTTTGCTATCGTTCTCAGTGTAAAATCTACTTCGCTACCTTTACGTGAGTTTTAGACAATTTTTTTTGTTATTTTTGCAATATTTCACGTCCTGAAAGTGTTAGGAATATTTTTGATTTTGTCATAGAAAACTGGTGAACATTGATTTTATGTTGTTATGTACTAAATATATTACCATTGGTGAAATTTTCAATCACTGGAGATTAAACATAGTTCAAATTATCAATCTACTACACATCACTGATCAGACTGGAAAGAAACACCTATAAATCATTTTTTCGGTTTTTCAATCGATATTTTCCTTTGATAATATAAGTATTGATGCTTGCATCGATGAATAGAAAATATAAATAACCGATAACTTCAGTATGTGCTTAGAGACTCTGTACTTGTTCCATGTAAGTGTAATTTCACCTCTTTCTTGTACTATATTGTGTAGTAATCCTGTGGATGACATCTGATTCAATTCAATTCTGAATTCTTTCAAAACTAGCTCTGAAAAAAGAAAAAATCTGATTTTTCATTCAACAATTATCGCACTTGCAATGTACCTGCTTGAATAGAAAAAAGTTGTTAATTAAACAATGTATAATTGACACGATGAAAATGTTTTGATCGCGAATTACTGTTGATTATTTATCCAGTAGGTGCTTGAATTTTCACAATTCTTAATTTTGCAATTCAATCAGTTGGAAACATATTTTTCCATCAATCGTCCAGTCATGATCAACCCTCTAGAAAAATTATAAATATAGATCCTTCAGTTCCGGGAGGTAGGGAGGGCTTTTTTGGTAAATTTTCTCCCCCTTTCGGATCTTTTTTCAAATTTGGAAAATGGCAGTTAGTTTTTTGAGCTATTTTCAAAAAACAGAACGTATTTTTCAGTTAATCCTTAATATTATTATTTATGTATTTAAAACGAGGATCAGTAAACATATCCAGTCATTATAAATCACCAGAATGTATTACTACATAATCAATCTTGTTCACACAAATTCATTTATATACTTTATTTGCTACTAGAAACATGTTTGTTTAGCTAATTTTTCATTTTTATATTAGGACATGTCCTACTAAATAAATAAATAAAGTAAGTCTTGATATACAATAAAAAGAGGGTTCCTGGGAAACATCAGCGTTGATGATTAAAGTATACGGGAGATTTCCTTCGACAGCCACTTGCAGGAAACGTTATTTCAGGAAGCTGGAGAGCTACACACAAAAATGACCCAACAAGTCACAGTATCGAAGTTTCACCATTTTTCTACAGTGTCAATATCAAATGACTCATTCAAGGTAGTTTGTTTCAACTGGAATGTACTGTATATAGTGCGGGGGTGATGTATATAGATATGTGAAGTTTTATGCACTCCAAACAGAGGGAAATATGTATCACGTAGGCCAGATATTATGCTTCAATTTTCCTATGTCCATAAAAAAGCGTTGAACACATATTCGATAAACATAAACTTTACCTTCGATAATTACACAGGTAATATCGTGGAAATATTTCAATTTTTTTATTTTTCCTCAGTCATGAGTTATAATTGATTATAAACAGTTTCTAATATTCGTTTTTCTGAATCAATTATAGATCAATAAACATACATTCAAATCGACATTATTAACCTGAAATAGTTATATTTTCCACTACATTTATCAAAGTATAGGTGCAAAGTTCAGAACTTTGAATAAGTGATTCGCCAGATTGCAACTTTCTATATATACAGGGTGGAGCAACATGTATGTGTATGTATGTGAGATGACTGGTCATGAGGGGATATCCACAGGGAGGGGTCTTATCACCCCTTCTTTGGAACATAGTTCTGGATACCGTAATTAATCACCCCAACAATAATGGATTCTACACAATTGCATATGCAGATGACATAGTTATCATGCAGATAGGAAAATTTGAGAACACTGTGCGATAGAGCGCAGGAAGGGCTCAAATTGATAGAAACATGGTGTGAGGAACACTCACTCTCGATCAATCCCAAGAAGACTGAGATGGTCATCTTCACCAGGAAAAGAAGTTTATCGGGCTTAAAACCTCCCGAAATCTTCAAAAGCAAACTAAACTTCTCTGAAGAGGGGAAATACCTTGGTATTATCCTCGACAGGAAGTTAACATGGAACTCTCACCTACAGAGTAGAGCAAGAAGAGCATATGTGGCTTATGAGCAATGCCGGAAGACGGTGGGACGCGCATGAGATTTTTCACCCCGTGTGGTCTACACTGGACCTACACTGCAATAATAAGAGCCATTGCATGGGGACCAAAAGTTCTACAAGCAACGGCCATCAAAAAATTATATCAAATTCAGCGATTGGCTTGATTAAACATCATAGGAGCCAGGAGAACAACACCAACCGCGGTAATGGAATTAATTACAGGTCTGACCCCTCTGGACCTGTTATGTGGTCCTCCTCCTGATTTGCATATGTTTCAGTAAAATGCTGATGTGCTACTTGACTAAAATAGGCGGGAGCCCCATCATGCATAATAAACATGTCCCTTCTGACGCCCAAAGGAACTTCCTCCAGCAGTACTGGATGCACTTCTCTTAAAAATTGAACGTATGTCTCACCATTTAATCGAGGAGATGGAAAATGAGGCTCAATTAAATCATCCCCAATAACTTCGAGCCACACGTTAACAGAAAACTGTTCTTGATCGTTAGTTTCGACAATAGCGTGAGTGCTTCATCCAACTAGCTTCTTCAGAGAATATTACTGGAGTTTTTCCGCAACACCAAACCGTCATTTCAACACCTCAACACGTGTTTCGATCACTAAGTGATCATCTCCAAGATGGAGATCAAACAGTTTGATCATCCTCCTCCATCAAAAATCACATGGCAGCTGACGCCCAGTTCTTCCGTCATCCCAACCACCGTTTTCGAAAGGTCGGCCTCCACCAGGGTCCTCAAAGCCTCGTCCTGGATCACTGTAGGTCGACCACTTCGTGGCTCATCTTCTAGGCTAAAGTCTCCGGATCGAAATTTGACATATGAAGGTATAACATTGAAAGAAAATGAACTTTTTGAACAACCTAATAGAAGAATATTCTACTGGCTTCTACCTATTACAGAAAATATCAACATCCTCACACCTAAAGTATTCAAAATTCACTTTTTCCATTTCAGCTAGTTATTTGACACCTTGCAAAAGGGATGACCCCAAACTAGACGATTGTGCTTTACAAAATGGTAAACTAGGCTTGCCATATATCTTGAAAGGAGACAAAAAATATGGAATTCCAAACTTCTATCCGCTGAAAATAAATGAAATCACAATGGAGACCGCTGGGAATTTGAAGATAAAACTGAAGGACGTTGAAGTCCATGGTTTGGAAAACGCTGAACTTCAAAGGGTCAAGTGAGTATGGAAGTACTTCTATAGATTTGATCGTTACTTGATGAAAGTGTGAAGAATTCCAAGAACAATCCCACCAAAACACTTTTCTTGTAAAGTGTTGCCAAGAAGAGTAAATATGGCTTGAACTATAAAACAGACAAACTATAAAACGCCATTGCCCTAAACTCAATGTTTATGAATTTTGAACGATATTCAAGACTTTTTTTCCTTTGCATGACTTTTCGAAAATTGACAGTAAAATGAAAATGCTTATCGCGATAGTAAGATTCACTCGTATTTTTAAAATTTTCCGATAGTGAAATTCCTCTTCTGACTCACAAAAGTTATATTTGTGTTAATCAATAATGTTTTCATGTGTTTGAAGGGAGCAAACTTGGTTTATCTCTTCTCAGATATTGATTTTATTTCCAATCAAGAAAATGTGATGATTTTTCGAAATATTTTTTTATTCGGTGAATTAATTCGGTGAGTTAATCAAAAATAGTGAGAACCCTGATGGGTGCTGACCCCTGATGTCAGTATTGCCGCCTAGAGTCAGGTGTCATAATACTGATGCCTGAATTCAGTATTGACACCTGGAATCAGGCGTCACAGTACTGGCGCCTGAAGTCAGTATTGACGCCTGGAGTCAGCCGTCACAATAGTGTCCCCTGAAGTCAGAATTGACGCCTGGAGTCGGGCGTCACAATACTGACGCCTGAAATCAGTATTGACGCCTGAAGTCAGTATTGACGCCTCGAGCCAGAGGTCACAATACTGACGCCTGAAGTCTGTGTTGGCGCTTAGATTCAGCCGTCACAATAGTGACGTCTGAAGTCAGTAGTGATGCCTGGAGTTAGGCGTCACAATTCTGACGCCTCAAGTCAGTATTGTTACTCCTGAAGATGATATTGTATAGCGAAACACGAGTCATGGTTTAGTAAATTGTCTAGTAGAAATATTGATCTCGGAACTCATGTGTAATGGTACAACTGATATATCTTTGGTTTTCAGAATCGACACGAAAGCCAAAAAGTTTTACGTGGACTTCAAAGTGAACACAATTAACATCTTGGGAAAATACGATATGGACGGCAGAATTCTGATTCTCCCTATAAAAGGAAATGGAGATGCCAATATTACTGCGAGTAAGTAATACAGGGTGTTAATTGAAAAACTTCAATTTGAAATAATTCGCGATTCGACCCCTTGAGATGACTATATTTCACTTTTAGGGTATCAAATGAGCAAAGATAAATTTCAAAATTGTCATTTCTCTATAGAATTTCCATAAAAGTCTCTCGAAAAAATTGTTTCCCTCACAATTATACAGGGCTATTCAAATTCCTTTCTGTACATGGCATTTTAAGGCATTTTCAAACTCGGTTTTTCATATTATTTATTGCCCTTAATACACTTATTTGCTGCATTGTTGCGAAATCATTGAAAATCCTCGATCTCGAGTTTTCCACATTTTCTATCTCTCTGCCAGCGTAAATCCTATTTTTCAATGTCCCCCATAGAAAATAGTCCAAAATAGTAAGATCTGGTGATCTTGCAGACCATCTTATTGTCCCATTATTTGTCTCGAAATGGAAGGACTCCAATTCGAACATTTATTACACAATTAATTTTTTTGTGTATATAAATTACTTCATTTCAATTTTCATTATAATTATAGTGTTCGTTCCATATATTATTATTGCTACCATTTTTTTTTCTGGTAATCAAAACACATATAATATATTTTTGTTGTAGATATGTTTCAGATAATCATAAAAAGCTTTCTTATTCACAGTTCATTGTAGAAAACGCTCAGAGCAATGGAAAAAATATGAATAGGTACCCAAAAATGAAAAAAAAAACTATCGAAAAACTCTACGGTACATAGGAAGACATGAAAGTTGCTATTGTGTTTATATTCAACTCAGTCAACCAATTTCCAGGGCCGTAATTTTAAAGAGAATAATTCACACAATTATAATCGAATATTACCGAAAAACCCCGAAATATAAAATTGAATTCAATTTCTCAGTATGAAGTGAACGTCTACGATTCAAAAACTACAACAAAAAATACAGGTTCGTATTTAAAAATTCAAAGACGTGGGTGGCCCAAGTCAGATAACACCCTGTATAAAATATTCATGGATATATTCTGAGAGCCCACATCAAGTGCCAGCAGTAAATTGTAGACAGATTTGCAATATGTCTGCGAATTGAGAAGATATAGGCAAAAAAATAATTAGGGATTTTTTGGTTTTTCCTGTATATCTTCAGAACCAAAAGAGCTATATTCGATTTCCTTACATCATTCAATAGGTCTCTTATCGTTAACGAGATCCCCATGCACAGAAACGAATTTGAATAGCCCTGTATATCCTTATATCAAATTTCGGCAATCTCGACAAACTTTCTTGCTATTTTCAATAAATTTAGAAAAAAAGTCGATATATTCAGTCATAATTGATCACAGCAGTCGATCCAGAATTTCTATAATTTCACCAAACTTCCCAACAGAACCTGACAGGCTAGGTATCAAACTGCGAATTTTTTTTCGTCATTTCACTTGGTTATTCCATGTATTTCATTTCATTTCAGTTGGTGGAGATTTCCACTATAATTTCGAATACAAACTCGAGAACAGAGATGGAGAGGAATATATGAAATCAACGAAACAAAACATAGACTACGAAGTTGGCAGATTGTTCATCCAATTCGATAATCTCTTCAATGGCGATAAAGTTTTAGGTGAGAGAATGAATAATATCCATCTATAATTCAATAAATTTGTCATGGACTTCCGAAGTATTCAACAACCAACAAAATTTGAAGGTGGAGTTTCAATAACTTCCAATGAAATAGTTAATCAAGTCCGAAAAATTCTGTTTTCTTGGCGAGTAGCCAAGTTCTGGAACGAATCGTAGGCAAGCCCTGGAAGTCTGCGGATCCAAAAAAACTGTTTTCGGGCGTATTGCGCACACTATTTCTTTCGACAACCGTGTAGGATAACAAATCAAATTCTGCAGAACCTCATTTCGTACATTTTAATTCTAATTTGCATCGAATATTGAAATTCGAACAGTAGATAGTAACTAACATTCTACTTCTCTCCTGTATTAACATTTATATGAAAACTAGTTATTGCCAGCGGCTTCAGCAGCGTACAAATTGGTTTGTCACATTGAGTTTCGTGACAGACCATTCCAAACACAGGGTTTTTCATGATGAGCGTTAATTAGCCGTTTCTGGCAAACTATTCAACGGATCAACCTTAAAATTCCACAGTATGCATAAGTCAATATGACCTACACGCCTAAAATATTTCAGACGAAGCGGCGTTGTCGCTTCTACTATAAAGTAGCGGCTTCTTTGATTTTTCAAATGGAACACCCCGTATATAATATCATATTATGATTCATTATAGTAGTAACAATATTTTTTTATCAACCCAAAACTTCAGGTTTCCATCTTCTAGACTGACGAAATTCAATACAATCCCTATGTTTCCCCCGTGGGGGTGGAAATTCCTGATTCCCTTTCTTGGTGCTCGTTTACGCTATACAAAGACCCCACCTGCATATTTCAAGATTCTAGGTTCAGTTGCTTGGGTTGCACGTTGATATAAGAGTGACAGTCAATCAATATGTGCCCACTTACACAATATTTAATAGCATTAGCACAAAAAATGAAAGGATCAGAATGGAATAAATACATTGATACTCCTACAGCTCAACGGATTCAAAATTGAGTTGGTATATAGATATATTATGACCTGCCTATTTTACGCCCTTGAACGTGTGTTTTTTCATTACTTGGGGGATCAAGCTATTCAATTCAGGTCTCAAGTAGACTTAACTTCTTTATAGGTTGGTTTTTCCGGTCTTGGTATAACGGAGGAATTGCTTTTGTGACGTGTACCGTAGTTATATATTTCTGTGGGCATGTTGTCGTATTACAGCTGATACAAAATATAATTGTTGAAGATCCAATAATTTCATATTGACACTGACAACAACGATGTGATTCTTCCCGGCCTAGTCTGAAAGTACGTACTTTCCATACCCAGAAAAATGCTACTTCCTCAAAGAAAAAGATTGCCGAACGGTTACCGAAAAAAATAGTATATTTGTTATGATGTTATGATGAATAACGTTTTGATAATTTCACAGGTGCCAATGCTAACGAAGTCCTCAATAAAGAATGGGAATCTGTTTTCAAAGAAATGAAGGAACCAATAGGAAATACCATTCTAACAGTCGCTTCTTCTATTCTGGACAATATTTTATCGAAAGTTCCTCACAAGTATACTATTTTGTAGTTTGGAACATCAGACTCTGTCTAATGTAAATAAAATAAATGATTATTTGACTGGTTTTGTTTTCCTACAGCCACTACGAAAACCAAGATATTGTGAACTTCTGTGCTTTCTGTCAAGGATAGTACCAAGGTATTTCACCTCTTCAGAGAATTTTAGTTTGCTTTTGAAGATTTCAGGAGGTTTCAAGCCCGATAAACTTCTTTTCCTGGTGAAAAGGACCATCTCAGTCTTTTTGGGATTGATCGACTGTGAGTGTTCCTTACATCATGTTTCTATTAATTTGGGCCCATCCTGCGCTCTATCACACAGTGTGTTCACAAATTTGCCGGTCTGCAAGATAACTATAGATAATAGATAGATAGATAGATTCGTTTATTGTAACTACGTTACATAATGTTTGTAGCAGGTCATATGTATATATAACAGTCTAATTCTCACAAATTCTGAACAAATTTTTAGATATTGAAAAAACAAAAATATAAAATATAAATCAATAATAAATATAGCATAAACAATATGTATAATTATATTCACACTTATTGTTGCAACTGTATTCATCTCGTATGCGGTAAGAATCTTCTCTCAATACGGAGAATGTAATTGAAACAGACAAAACAAAATAAATATCTTTAATTTTCGATACTAGTTAATGAGATTTATGAGAAATAAACAAGCCACTGCTTCAGACCTACATGACTATAAATCTATAAGGAACTCTTTCACTGATACTGTTGACAATAGATGAAGCAACAGCTGAAACTGCTTCTCCAATCGCAGGTTTTATTTCCATAAGGACAGACTCCCACTCATCGTTCAAAACCTTATTAGTATTGGGACCTGGAACAATATATAGATGTAGTTTATTCTTCTTTTTACTATACGGTTACATATACGGTTTACTATACTGCAAATTCTTTATTTCCACTCACCTAGCACCGGGTCTCCATTGAAAAGGTTATCAAACTGGAAATAGAATCTTGTACTATTGAAATCAAGGCTTTGTTGGTCCAAATACATGTGTGATTCCCCGTTCTTTTCTGTGACTTTATATGTGGTTTTGTATTTAAAATCGAGATCAGCTGAAACAAAATTGAAGATTGTTTAACTGCTATTTCCCATGACGATTAAACTTTCCCAATTCGTCAACTCAACAACAAAAATAATAGTGTAGAGAACTGCAAGTTATTATGGCTTCAATTTTGGTTATACATTCTACTTATAAAGTTAATCGATCAATCTCAACAAACTGAAAATTGGGAGTATCAAACCCACTTCGTGTCTTCTGTTTTCTTTATCTGGATCCATTGCATTAACTTCCATTAAAATATTATTTTATCCATAACGATCGAGATCGATCACCCGGTTTTTCGGTATCGATACTTTTCCAACAGATTAAGCGTTGGATTTGATTTATGACTGTTGAACTTTAGCGGCATCATGAAGGATATGTTACGTTCTAGATAGACCAAACAAACGTATCCTGTTGGTGAGTTATAATACTGGGAACGCGAAAATGCAAGCTTCTTATCCTTTCCGACAATCCTCTGATGGTTACTCTTTGGAGTAACCATTTCGTTGAAGATCAGTTTTGATGATGCCTAGTTCCCTTTCGAGACCTTTCTCCGTATCACAGAACGTATATTGGCTATAACCAGTGAAAGTGGCGATCCCATTGGCACTCCATATTACGTAAAGAATTCGTCTTTCAGTTGGACTTAGCAGTTTCGTACACATCATCCTAATAATTCCATGATGACTGCTATAGGTTGTGTTGTGCTAGAGGAGTTGTGGAATTGGCCACGGTGGTAGTGCGCCCGACTCACGATCGGAAGGCCGTGGGTTCGATTCCCGCCTCGACCAGATATTGTTCTCGAGATAATTTATCTGGTTGAAGCTGGGATGATTCTGCAACCGTGTTAGGAATCACACGTTAAAAGGTAAGATATCGTTAGTCTTTAGCTCGCACAAGTTTCTCAACTTGTGAGAGATGTCCTTCGTATGGGAGCGACAGCTGATTAACGGAAAAACAGACGTTAAACAGATTTTTAAACAGGTAAATTAGTTCTGTCTTCCAGTTTCTCGTCTTCAGATAGCTTCCATTGTATGATTTGAAGTGCTTTCTCGAACGGAACGTTTCAAACGGAACGTCAAAAATGATCAATTAATCTAAGTCTGTGACTTCGATTGCCCTTAGTAGTTTGACAAAATGCCTTGAATTTTTCACAAAAGATGAGGTTTTTTCATGTAATGGTTATATTATTGGCAATAAAAATCTGGACAAGTTTTGAGTAGCTGAATCTCTGGAGCTACTGTAATGTCATTTCAGAATTTTTTGACCTAATTTAGTGATTTTTTCGAAGATTTCAAATCATTTTATATCATATTAGACAATGGAAGTCCAAACTGATGAAAATCAAACGTTATCATTATTTCAACCTGAAGAACGTTTCTATTCAACCATTCTCACTTCACAGCCGAATATTATCCAAAAACTGAGGAAATAATCGTTTAATATGAAAAAAAATGTCATTCCAGATTTAGTATTCGATTGAATGAAATTTTTTCGTACTCCTGAACAATTACTTTTTTTCTCAACAGTGAAATAACAATTAAGTTTAACAATTGAGATGGTCAAATGAGGTTGAAGTGTTCTTTAGTGTTCTTTGGGCAATGTTTTGTTTATTTACACCAGTAGCTAGTGTGAAAATTCCACTTTATTTAGCAGCCTTGTAACTTTTATAGTTTCATAGTTCAAAAGGTAAAACTATAAACTCATTGGGAAGTTCGATCGTTTGGTAAACATGAGTGTATAACTCTAACAGAATTTGTGTTGAGGAATTGATTGTATCCTTCATCGAGAGAAAGTTTTTTTCTCAAAAGTTTCAGTTGAATTTTAATCATGATTAGAAGCTCGTATCCTAATTCAGAAAAGATGTGAATATTGTCAAATAACCAACAAAAAAAAACTTCTCACTTGCAGTAATGTTACAATCCCCATTTCCTTTCAGTGGCAGTACCAGAATTTTTCCATCCATATCATATTTTCCCAAGATAACCAAGTTATCTACAGCGAAATCCACAGAGAGCGTTTGGCCATATGGGTCAAGCCTGGAAATAAAAAAATTTTTTTAGGGAATCGAAAATGGAAATGTTATGATTGCGCATGGCTGGTAGAAATGGGTCAATTGAGGCTGGGTCTATGGCGAGAAGCGCTTACTCCGCAACCTCTGCTGCAGGTAACCAGTAATGCAATTGAACTCAGGTTTGTGTTTGATAAACCCTATAAAATACAAATAAAACAGAGTACAGGGTCAGATACTACAAATGCAATACGCATATATACAGACGGCTCAAAAACCAAAGAAGGATCAGGGTGTGGAGTGTACTCCAGATCACTAAGCTTAAGAATTAAGTGGGGAATAGGAAGAAATACCAGCCTGGTCCAAATAGAACTGGCTGGTATCTCAATCGCCAGGAAAGGAATTTTTGGAAGAAACATAACAATCTGCCCAGACAGCAGACAAGTCCTATTAGCCTTGAACAGACAACGTGTTACCTCAGGGCTAGTACTAGAGTGAAGAAGCCCACAAGAAACCTCGAGTCTGGTAGAGATATGTTGACACCTTCATAATATGGAACCATGGGAATACTGAACTAGACGCCTTCCTGAAACACATCAACAGCGTGAGACCTTCCATCAATTATAATTATTCTTAACACTTTTTGTTGAATCATCTGAAAAATTTCAGACGATCAACTGTATTGCCAAACGTGCGCCAAACTAACTGACTATTATGAGGAAGCAAGTATAGTTGAGGCACCAGTCAACGTAATAATGACTCAACCTCTGGCAGAAGCACCAAACTCTTACGAAGGTTTGAAATAGATGAAGACTTCAATCTAGCAGACCACTACCATGATCTTCTGGCAATATCTTGAATTTATTGGAGTCCTTGGAGCCTCTGGAGACAACCTACATTTTATTCTATGAAAGAGAGGACATTGGCAGATCAAGATCGTCAGATGATGTGATGCTGCAGGTTTTCCCGGGTTTTCCTGCAGCTGAAAAAGCAAATGCGCCACTGAAACCAGTCAAGTCGTCCCGGAGTGCCAAATAATGTTTGTTGTTGTTACGTAATTTCATAATTTGTATTCCTTTTTTTAATATGTTACTCTAAAAAGTATTTCGTATATTTCAATACATATTTTTCAGTACACAATATGAGAATGAAGAATAAATAAATAAATGGTATAGAAAGCAACTCTTTTTCCCTATTTAGTGACAAATTTTTTCACTATCATAGCACTTGGTGAACGTGTTTTTTAATTTTTAAGCAGACTATCACGGTTTGTGTGGTCAACAGTAAATAGTCATCGCTTTCAAAAACAGAAGGTATTGCTGGCAACACATTACTGTTTTGTTTTCGGTTACATTTCAAACCAGCATAAACGATTTCATCAAGAAATTTGGTTGAGAAGAATAAAGAAGGTTATTGACGAATATTATCTATGTGCAAAAAATGGTCAATGTTATCATTTAATAAATGAGTTTCAACCTTTAGTTTCAACCTCCTTTCTCTTTTTGGATTTTTCAACTTTGTTCGATTCACTTGGAAATATAATCGTCCAAGATTCATTTTACAAGGTTACATTTCTAAAAAAATGTTGAAAAGTTCACGTTTTTAGTTTTGACATAGCTCGACGATAAATTAAACAGTAACTTTGGTGCTTTTATTAGATGAACGTTTTTTTGTCGGGATTTTCAGTCGTGTGAAAAATCTAAAGCATAGATAAAATCAATAATGATATAGAAAGATATTATTAATGATAATAATAAAACTCAATTTTTTTTAGTGACATGCAGAAAACTGTATAGAATTTGTCATAAAACCGTATCTAACTAACTCAAGAAAGGGAATTAAAACTCTTCCGAGGTGTTAAATCCACATTTCAACGGGTGAATGTATTTTTTTGCATTCAGATGCAATGGATTCATGCAAAACCAATCACAGAGATTAGAAAGAACTTCATAATATATTTTTTCTAGAGAATAACCAGACTGTTAGGAAATAAATATAGACACATCGTCTGCATACAATGTGAACTATATGGATTCGCTCTGACGATATCATTTACATATATAAGGAACAATATTGGGCCCACTACGGACCCTTGAGGAATACCTACACCGATGTCCAGATAATTCGAATTACAAGTGGTCATTGTTTTCTCAGTTACTACTGGGAAACTGACGTACTTCAAGTCATTCAACGTTAATTTTGATCAATTCAGTTATTGTAATTCTTCGTAATTAGTAAATCAAAGTTTAACTGTTTGAAAAGTGCAGTAAAGAATAAATTATTGACTTTTCATTGATATTGTTTTTTAATTATGCTTATGTATCAAACTATTTCACAGAAAATAGAAATAAAGTGAAATATTCATCTGTTTTTAAAAACTGTATCAACTTTGCATCATTTTTGGCATAATTTTTTCTGGTGTTTTAAATTTTTGCGAAATAAGTTGTATTTAGAATTGCAATTGGTAATAAAAATGCGTTGGAAAGATAAGTTAGGCATAANATTTACCAAGAATAGAACTGAAGAAATTCGATGGGAACGTGAAGAACTGGATTGGGTTCTGGGGACAATTCAAGTATATTCACAACGACCCAGAAATAGATAATGAAGACAAGTTTCAGTATCTTTTACAAGCGACGGAAAGTGGTTCAGTTGCTCGAGATTTAGTAGAAAGTTACCCCCCGTCTGGGCCCAATTACATTAAAGCCATTGACCAGTTGAAGACTCGTTTTGCCAGGGACGAATTCCTAATCGAAGTTTACGTAAGGGAACTATTACAACTTGTACTGCAACAATCTTCAAAAGCTAAAACAGGTATGTCTCTTTCCAATCTGTATGATAAACTTGAAACCCAGTTAAGAGCTTTGGAATCCCTAGGAGTTACTAGCGAAAAATATGCGGCTATGCTTTTCCCTCTTGTAGAATCGGCTTTGCCTGCAGAAGTTTTAGGAACATGGGAAAGATATCGTAATTTTGATCAACGAAATAAAAAGGATGGTAACGAAAATTCTAAAGGTACTAATTATTTGAATATGTTATTAGGTTTTTTGAAAATGGAGGTTGAGTCAGAAGAACGGATAAATTTGGCACAAAAAGGATTTGGAAAAGGACACGAGCACAACAAATATCATGACAGTAAGGATAAATATTTTTCAAAACAAGCCTCTCTCAGGAATTTCGGTACAAGAGTATCTGAACTATTTTCGCGAAAAAATAAAGAAGTCGCCAAGGAAGCTGAAGACGGTGCAGATCAGATTGAAAAAGTAATCGACAAGAAAACCAACGAAGCTGGCGAGTTAGCTGAAGAAGTCAAAAAAGATGGGAAAAACTTTGCAAATGATATTGACGAAGCTGTAGAAAAAACCAAAAATGACTTGACCGAAGACTTGAATAATGCTGACAAAAAGATTCAAGAGACTGCTGAAAATACTCTTCAGGAAAGTTTACTGAACATTGGTAGAGCCATCGACGAAAAGATCCGTGATACAGACACAGCTATCCAAAGGCCTAAATTTCGCCATTACGCCAACATCTGTGCCCACTTTGGAGATAATCACTACAGTGGAATCCACCAGTTTCCTTATTGACCAGACCGAGGCAGAAGAGTTCAGATGGAAAATTAGAGAACAGCTGGATCGAGAACCAGTTCCAACATCTAACATCAGCAAGNCTACAGTGAATGTTCAAAAACATAGTTTTTTCATAATTATTCGGCCAAAAACAACATTATAGTCATGCCTCAGCCACCGCATCCACCAGATTTGGCCCCCTGCGACTTTTGCCTGCTTCCGAAACTGGAGAGACCCATGAGAGGATAGAATACGCGAGGATTGAAGATATGAAACCGAATTGCTGACAGCGTATCAAATATTCATACAGAAGAGGCACAAGTTCTACAATATTTTTATAGGGTGCCGGAATATTTCCTGTCCGGTCGTCGAGCATCTTTGCGGGGCCCTGAATTTGAAGGGTTGTAATCATATCAATATTGTTTTGAATGATAAATCCTCATGGTTCTTCTTGTATGTTTTTCAATCATCGGCGAACTGGTATACTTTCCGTTCTCAGCTAATTTATACCTATTAGTTTAAAAATACATACAAGAAATAAAGTATTGACGCAAATGGACTTTGGCTAACCTAGACCGAATCATGATTGTCCTTGCAGAATTCAGTGGAAGAAGAAGATAGACCGATACATTTGGGTAGAGTTTTAATTGACCATCAATAATTCTTGTGGGTGTGAGAAACCGGAATATTATGTAATTCTTGTTGTTTCAAGAAATGTATATTCGATTTATTGCGGAATGAAATTGGACAAGCAATGAAGATGCAAGTAGTGCACGAAAGTTCACAAAACGCTTTGCTGTCCCGCGTAGGATGGCGACCTGGACTGAAATACTTTTTAAGGGCATGTAGGATGACATACAGGGTGTATCAACGATTTGGGGTGGACAATAGGTGCTTCTTTAACGGAGATAAACAAATATTTCACACAAAAGTTACGGAAAGGATTGCAAGTGTGCTCCAATACTTGAAAATCTACTTCGGCAGCTGAATAGCCAACAGCATATGCAGGAATAACTTCAGTGAAGAATACTGCACTGACTCCTGTCGGATATAATCCAACACTCTTCGTGGTATTAGCCTGGAAAGTAGTTGTTTTCTGATAGGTGCCAGTCCATGAACCTACTGTGTAGGTAGGTAAAGACTGGCCTGAATAAATTGTTCCTTTAGATGATTTGGAGAATGAAAAAAAATCCAAATTGATGGTCATTGAAGTAAAATGTTAATTGAAGAAAAAGAGCCTGGGGATTGTTCCTAAAAATTTAGTTCATTCCTCAGTCTAGCTTTAATAGAAGACTGATATCAAAATTCATGCTTTTCTAGTGGATTTTGACAGACATTTCATCAGTTTCAAAATGATAATGATATTTCTGAAACGTTGACATAATTATTTTCTTTTTCATATAATCATTCTTACCACTTTTTTGTTGAATCATCTGAAAACTTTCAGACGATCAACTGTATTGCCAAACGTGCGCCAAACTAACTGACTATTATGAGGAAGCAAGTATAGTTGAGGCACCAGTCAACCTAATAATAACACTGATGATCTTCAAACATGACTCAACCTCTGGCAGAAGCACCAAACTCTTACGAAGGTTTGAAATAAATGAAGACTTCAATCTAGCAGACCACTACCATGATCTTCTGGCAATATCTTGAATTTATTGGAGTCCTTGGAGCCTCTGGAGACAACCTACATTTTATTCTATGACATTGGCAGATCAAGATCGTCAGATGATGTGGTACTGCAGGTTTTTCCGGGTTTTCCTGCA